AAATGCACCGCAATTATTGCAAAGTTTTTAAGCCACGGAGAAACATCGCGTCCTAGAATAGTAATTACAGTACACAAAAATCATTATACAGTCCAACTTTGTTCAATTATAAAGTGGTTTCTCAAATAAAAATATAGAAATAAAGCACGAAGATTGCAGTAAAACGCGAAACGCAAACCGAGAATATTGAATCTCCTTTTCATTTAATGGGAACAAAGTAATTTTTCTAAGTGCTGAAGAAAACAATATCTGTGGATAAGCGGGGGAGGAGTGGGTGAAAGTTAATTTATCAGGAGCCAAAGGAAGGTTTAGCAAGCTGTCGTTGCTAGTTTCAACTTAACGTTCATTGAGCGAGTAGCTTTAATAGTTTACTTAGGATTTAGGTCTTAGTATATTACTTAAAGTAATTATAGTCGGTTTTACTGTATTTCAGGTATGGGAACTTTGCCATTTCATCGAGAGATTTTTTCAGTTGCGTTTCAGTTATTCCTAAAGGTTGTGTCGCCGCAAACTTCCCACAGCTTTCAACAACCCCACTACTCACAGTTCCCGGTGTGAATTTTAAGAAAACAATTCATGATAGATAAAGAGTTAAGAAACCTAAAGATAAGTTACTTCTAAATTGTTTAAATAATCGGGCGTGACTTTGGAAATAAACGTGAATAAACATTATTTCACTTATGATTGAGTTCTAGAAAAAAATGAAGAGCTTGATAATGTCTACAAAAAGTCAGCGACAGCATGTCTAACTTTTATTTGCCGACAAAAGATTGTTAACAGCAATAAGCAATACCATTTGTATGAGCTAATAATAATATTTTTGGGGAATTAGCTAAAGAAAATATATAATAACTAGCTGAATATATAAACCGATACACAACCCGAAAGTTGTTTTGCCATGAATATTATTTCTAAGAAACATTGTTTTAGTTTAATAAAAATACCTATCTGCTATAATAAAAAATAGGGACTGATCGTAAAGAGGTAAAAATTAAGGGTTGTATGTGTTTTTGTATGTTGTATCATAAAAAAAATAAAAACAAAAAATTTTGTCTAAAAAAACAAAAAAAAGTTTTTGGGGTGGACACTCCTTATCACTTTAGGGTTTAAAGATAGATAGTAGCCGATTATCAATCTTACTAAATATGCATAAAAATTTCATAAGAAACACGATTTTATATATAATATATAGCGATATTAAAAACCAGAAATTACTAATCACATTAATAACCAAAACCCTTAGTTTTTGTAATTTGTATTTCTATACAATTTTACCGGAAACATCATCTTGCCTATTTCATTTAAAAAATCAAACGACCGCATCTTAGCTTAGTAAATACACAAAAAGCTTCATTCCGAAAACTCGTTATCACGGGTTCGTGTCATTACTCGAAGTAAATAAACCATATTAACAACAAAAATTCTACTTAAAGTAATGACTATTTTTGCAACATTTACATTAGCCTTACTGAAATGAGGCAATTTACATTATGAAAGATGTAATCTCGTAAAAATAAACAAAACGTGCGCCGTCGTCAGAATTTTGATGTAGTATAATTTAATTTCACGTTTCACATAACATTATGACTCGAATGGGAGCGTAATTTTCAAGAATATACGGAGGGGTATTGTCAAGGTATCGGCGTATTGAAATATCTTTGATAGGAATTTTTCTTTTTGCAATGTTCCTGGAAAATTGTCGATTGAATTAACACGACCTCTTTTTATTAATACGCATCGTTAAAATATACAAATGAAATTTTGTACAAGAAAATATTAGAATATTTTATGATAGTCGAAACATACCTACTGCTATACCTAATAGTATGTTTCGACTATTATTTGCGTTTTGTTTGCGCGAGAATGTATTATGTAAGTGCGTGCTCCTATTTCACCATGCCTCCTGCTGATAGAGGTGAAATCTTTATTTTTAAATTATTTTATTATTATTAATTAACTATTAATTACTTATGAAATCATTTGGAACATGTTGTAATTGTTGAAGTTGCAAAAACTTGGCGATTAAAAAGAGTGGCGGAGAGTTTATTGCCAGTTCTTCTCTTCCGTTCTACGCCCTTGATTTGAGAACCGGCAGTAAAAGTAAAATTAGAAGTGTACATTGTGTTACCTATTTGAATAAACGATTATGACTTTGACTTTGTGAATTTTAATAGTAATCAGTAAATATTGTAATCAGGAACAGTATTTTGAAATCCATATATTATGGTTGTATGAAGATAAAATTAAAATATAGCCTACATACATAATAGGAGGTCGTTATTATATTTATTATTTCTTGGATATTAATTCTTGGTCATTGGACATTTTATTTAAGAATATTGTGTATTAGTCCCACATGGTTGACACTAAACATATAATTGAGCTTTAATTAAAAGTGTTTTAATCTAAATCAGGCCCGAGAATGTTCTACAGAAGTGGGTAGGCGTGCAACCCTAAATGTCCGAACTTCACATTTACTCGCAGGGTGTAGAAAAACATCGTGAGAAAATCAATGTCATAAAGCCAAAAATAGAGAAAATCGTTTAAGTATTTGTAATTAAATTTACAATAGTGCATCAGAAATACAAGGTAAATTCTTACAGTATCAACCATATTGTTTTCTATACTCGCAGTTTCATTTGGAAGGCAAACATCTCTTCGGAAACACAATTTAAGTTCGTCAACAGCCTGCAGTTGGTAAACCTTGTTTATCCAAGTTTTACTTTGATAGTTACTGAATTTAGTTTTAATATAAAACGATTTTGAATTAGAAAAAAACATTAAAATATGTCTGATTTCTAAAATTGTGCACAGATAACGAATCGGGAGAAACCCATTTAAAATAAATCGATAAATAATTTTACTCATACAGTCGACTAAGTGAAATCTGTAGATAGAAAAACACTTTTTTAACGGAATTGAAGTTATGTTTTATTATAAATTTACAATTATTTTCGCGAAACGTCGATTGAATTTAAAATTATGTAAAATAATTGTAAATTTATAATAAAACATAACTTCACATCCGTTAAAAAAGTGTTTTTCTATGTCTAAAAGTTATGTCAATAAAAGACAAAACTATGAAATCTGAAGATGTTTTTGTGACTAATTAAATAATAATATAATTTTAGACAGTAAATGACTGTTAGGGAAGTTTATTCGACTTTTGCTAAAATGAAACATTATTTGATTGTTAATTACGTCTCATAGACCAGTGCCAGGGAAGGGTATGACGGGTCTGGGGCCTGGGCGTTACTGCATATGATGTTTTGCATTTTCTGAGAAGATTTACTATGGTAATATATATTCTTGGAAATCACAAACGATAAATAATAAAAGTAACAAAACACTCAACCTAGGAAGTTTTATTCCTTACAAAACAATTTTTAATTAACTAAAATACCACAATGAATATTATACGCAACCAGAAGACAATCTTTTACACAACGCCACCATAAATAACAAAAAACTCCCGCGTCTGTCACGTCCGCGCGCCAATCGCCACATTTCCGGTGTTCCCAGTTTCACTCCTCTCTATTACCCCTCACTCGGTCTGACTTGCTCTGTGGAGATTGTTTTATAAGACGGCCGTTCCTGACAGTGCGGCGTCCTCGACCGCAGCATTACTTGCACCACTAGCATCAGAGCCATTTCTCTCTTCATTTGTTTCATCCCTTGCAACCTGCTCATTATTGTCTAATGCAGTCTCTGAAACATAGAAGGAACTTTTAAGTAATTTACCTAGTTTAGTGTTATAGCCTGAAGCATATATCCTGGATTAGAGGGATGAAAAATGACATTTATCTCTATTTCTCAATTACCAGTACTATGTGCGCAAGCGTGCACTCAAGCGCACACAGATAAGGTCTATCAAAAAGCAAATATTACAGAATTAGATAGCTTCAGACTTAACACGAATAAAAATAAAACTCAGTATCTTGCAATACACTGTCGTAACGACAGCGGCTTCTAGTGCTCTCATAAGCGACAATTTGTTAAAACAGAGTCCCATACATTTTGCATGTTCTCTAAGTGGCCTAAACACATTAGCACCAGAAAAAAAAATTGTCACAGAGACCCATACCTTTGTATGTTCTCTATGTGGCCTAAACACATTAGCACCACAAAAATTTGAAACAGAGACCCATACCTTTGCATGTTCTCTATGTGGCCTAAACACATTAGCACCACAAAAATTTGAAACAGAGACCCATACCTTTGCATGTTCTCTATGTGGTCTAAACACATTAGCACCACAAAAATTTGAAACAGAGACCCATACCTTTGCATGTTCTCTATGTGGTCTAAACACATTAGCACCACTGACATCACTCACCAGTCTCAAAAAAAACTGAGCACGCATCCGGCGTCCACTCGCCTTGCCACAACATCATATTTTCAGCTGCAGCTTGGGTCTTTTTCCCATAGGAACCAGCTAGTAGCTCTAACTCGTAACGGTGGCACGGTAACGCGCGAATAACCTTGTAAGGCCCGCGCATGCCGGAGTCCAGTTTGCCGGTGATTTGTGCAGTCTTGCTCACAAACACAAAGTCTCCGACAGCAAAAGTGAGTGGCTGCCGTCGACCCTCGTAACGTAGGCATCCTGGCGCTGTTGATTGGTTGCAAGGAGTTCTGAAGCTCGTTGTCTGCGAAGAGTTAAAAGAGCCTCCCGATTGGGATTAGCGTTAGTAAGTGCCACATCTCGCACTAACGATCTGATGACTGGAGTAACTGCGTCAATACCGACCAGTAACTGTAGTGGTGACGTCTGCGTGGTACTTTGCTTGGAGATATTCAAAGTGAGCTGCATCCTCCACAGCACATCGGACCATTGGGAACCTTTGTTGCCTACTTCAACACGTAGCATGTTGAGAACTGTCCTGCAGTACCGCTCCGCTTGCCCATTTTCACGGTGCATACCAGGCGTGATAAAATGTATCGAGCATCCCAAATCACTGACCCAATTTTGGAATGTAGTGCTTTCGAACATTCTAGCGCGATCACATACTATTGTAGACGGCGTACCAAATAATGACACCGCATTTGAAAAAAACTCGTTTTAGCTCGTCAGTGTTTTGTCTGTACAGAGAGTAGAGCAAACAATACTTGGAAAATGCATCCACTATAATCAAAACGTATTTGAAACCGTTTGACTCTTGGAGCGGCCCTAGGACATCGGTGTGTATAATAGAAAAAGGGATATCTGGCTTTGTCCAGGATTGAATCGGTTGTGACGGAGCCCTGGGAACTTTTTTATGTGCTAAACATACTAGACAATAACTTATGTACTTTTTTACAAACTGTCGCAAACTAGGAAACCAAAAGTGTCTTAATATTAAGTCAGTTGTTCTGTCCGTCCCAATATGATCATGTTCATCGTGGAACACCCTCAACAAGCTGAGTCTGTGACCCTTAGGGATGTAACACAAGAGTCGCGGGTCTTCCCCAGTTGGTGTAAATTTGTAGTACAACAAATCATTTTTTATCACATACCTAGTATCGTCAAGCTGCCCGTCTTTTAATCTAGAAATTAACTCTTGTGTCTCCACATCAGCGGTTTGAGCGATCTTCGCCCAGCTGCTTGGATTCCGAATATGAGACACATTGGCAGTGGAAAGAGGAGGATTACGGCTCAGAAAATCTGCATGTTGCATTAAAACACCTTTACGATAATCTAAAGTAAAATTAAAATCTTGTAAATATACCCACCAGCGCGCAACTCGAGGCAACAGATCTTTTTTACGCTCCGTCAATTTTAATGAATTGCAATCAGTCACTATTTTAAAGGCTATACCAATCAAATAGTGGCGGAAATGCTGGAGCGCACGTACGACAGCTAAGGTCTCCAGCTCATAGCTGTGGTACCGTGACTCTGCGCCCTGGGTGGACTTACTAAAATAACCGACAACCCTCTTTCTCCTACCGGCATGTTCCTGTAACAAAATAGCACCAAGACCAATAGCACTTGCATCGGTGTGAAGTTCCGTAGGCAGCCGGGGATTGAATATCGCTAAAACCGGTTCATTTGTCAAACAGTGAATTATATAATCGCGAGCAGTATCCTGCTCAGCACCCCACAAAAATGGTAACCCTTTTCTTAACAACTTTGCTATACATGCCGTCTTAGAAGCATAACCCGATATGTAGCGACGGAAATATCCCGCTAAACCTAGAAACTGGCGAACTTCCTTGACATTTGTGGGTTTTGGAGATCTAATAAGTGCATCGACCTTCCCCAGACTCGGCCTAACCTGACCATGACCGATCAATCGCCCCAAGTATTCAATTTCTGAGTCTAAAAAGGTACATTTTTTTAAATTAATAGAAAATCCCGCTGTTTTTAATGTATGTAAAACTTCTTTCAACGTGTCCAGGCCTTCCTCTACTGAATTTGACAGTAATAAAACGTCGTCTATATACGTAAGGGCTTTGCCAGCATCTATTAATGTTTTTAAAGTTTTGGAAATGATTCTCTGATAAACAATTGGTGCATTGGCCAACCCGTAGGGCATTTTCAAATATTCATAATGTCCTTCAGGTGTCACGAAGGCAGTCTTGCTGATTGAGTCATCGTCCCTCATTGGCACCTGGTGAAATCCAGTAGCCATATCAAGACTGGTGAAGATTTTATAGCTGCCAAGCTTGTCAACATGGTCATCGATTAGCGGCAAGGGAAATTTCTCCTTGACAGTGATAGAATTGAGCGCCCGATAATCGACGCACATTCTATCACTGCCGTCTTTCTTTTTGACCAAAATAATAGGACTAGCATAGTCAGACTGAGACTCCCGAATTATACCCTTACTGAGCAAATCGCTGACAATGTCACGAACTCTATTCTTTTCATCTATCGAAGGTTTGTAAGGACGATGACTTATCGGGGTATTCGAAGTTAATCGAATTTCCATGCTGCCTGTGTTCACGGTGGAGGCCGCAGTGCCAGAGATAAATAAATCCGAAAATTCGTGAATTATCGTTAGTAATCTATCCCTATCTGCACCAATTAATGGGGTGCTGACACTCCCATCGTCCACCACGACCACATGCTGCACAATCGGTCCAATACCAGACCTCACAAGCCGCTGTTCTCCATTACTTCGAATGTATATCAAACCCTTTCGGTTCAGTACGTCGGTACCAATCAAAATGGGTGCATTTATGCACTGAGAAGGAACAACAAATAAATGACACTTCAGGAAATTCTATTACTGTCGTAATTAGAGAAGTCGACTCAATTTCTTGACTTCCAATTCCACGCATCAAGCGATAAGTTGGCACTCTATTCAAATTAAAATATCTCAGTACTGACTCTGAAATCAAAGAAATATCCGACCCACTATCGATCAAAACATCGACTGGTACTTTTTGAAGTACTGCTGATATTACGTTACTTTGTTTGGGGTCAAGTCTAAGCAAAAATTTACTTCATTGATTTTTTTATCACCACTGTTAGAACGCTGTTTTTGAAAACATGAATCTATCAAATGTCCATTACGCTTACAAAATGTGCAATATTTAACTGACCTATTCTGATTGTCGCTTAATGCAATAGGAGATGGTTTTGTGAAACTGTCACTCTGAGTAGAAGTCGTAGGATCAGCTCTAAGTTTTTTAGGACAATGCCATTTCTTATGACCTAATTTTCCACAGGTGTGGCAAGTAATTTTGTTATTATCAAACCTAGACGCCTCGCGTTTTCGCGTGTAAGACGGACCTGAACTACTAAAAGAACGAACGGTATTGTTAGATTGGCGGTAATCGTATTTAGGTTTTATATAAACAGATAAAAATTCAATCAAACCTTTTGAGTGTAATTTAGCATTTGTGGCCGCGGCTTTTATTTGGGGATCGCTAATGCCTCGAACAACAATAGCGGTTTTCAGCTCATCGGATAAACCTTTAACGATATTCAGACGTAGCAAAGATTTACGCGCGTATTCCGCATAAGTAGAAAACTTATTAGAGTTTGTACTCATTACCTCAAATAATACAGAAGCCATGTCAACGTTACGTGGACATAACGATCTAAATTCTAGTTTAAAATTACTCCACGATCGATCATTTGTCACCCAATCGTTTAACCACAACTTCGCATCTCCTTTCAAACAACTACCTATCCGTCCTAAACATTCGTGATCATCCCAATTATTTAGAAGCCGGGCACGGTCAACCTCGTTGCACCAAACATCAAAGTCGTGTACATTTGGATCAAAAGGCGATATATAAAAGTTGTGAGACTTTGCTTTGAACAATGCAGTCAATGCTTCAACAATACTGCTCCCCTCCTCCTTTGCTTCACTGGTTTTCATATCCAGTGTGTGTGGAATACTACCCTCAATAACCTCTTCAGCCATGCCTGAGCCTGGCTTACTAGCAGAACTCTGTACAGCCAATGGAGTAGAAACTAAATGACTCCCGTTCACAGGACGCGAAGGACTCACGCTATCTACGGATACAGGTAGTCTAGCTTCGATCACTTCTAATCTACTATGAATCCTATCAAAAGCTACATAGCGTGAACTATCGCGGCGTTTACGAGAGCTATGAGGGTCGTGCGATACATCACGACGCCTGGAAGACCGATTCCGGCGGTTTGATGAACTACTATAGAGACTTCTACCAGGCGGCGTATAACGGGAATCTACGCTATCGCGACGTGCTTCGCGACAACTAGAACGCCGTTTTTCGCGACTATGCCTTTGTCCCTCGAGTCGAGACGAAAGACCAGACATTTTGCTTTTATAAGAAATAAAACTTACGGCCGAGATGAGGTTCCTCCAATACTGAACACTAATAAGTTCTAAATTTAGATAACAAACGGTCTAAACGCGTGGTGATCCCACTTCTGATCTTGGAAATCACAAACGATAAATAATAAAAGTAACAAAACACTCAACCTAGGAAGTTTTATTCCTTACAAAACAATTTTTAATTAACTAAAATACCACAATGAATATTATACGCAACCAGAAGACAATCTTTTACACAACGCCACCATAAATAACAAAAAACTCCCGCGTCTGTCACGTCCGCGCGCCAATCGCCACATTTCCGGTGTTCCCAGTTTCACTCCTCTCTATTACCCCTCACTCGGTCTGACTTGCTCTGTGGAGATTGTTTTATAAGAATATATATATATTTTTTTACCATAGGAAAGTAGAGATTTCAACGAACTGAAAGCACACCAACTTTTTGAAAAAAGCTGAAATTTTGACGTCAGAATTTTCGATTGAAAATTAGGGTGTTTTTTCGATGTTAATTCAAAATAAGATGAAAAAATAAATATTTTTAATCAAATAAATTACAGTATATTTGGGACATAATAAGGTAAGTTTTCACCAAATTTCGTTAAAAAAAAGAAATTTGTAAAAGATAAAAATTAAAAACCAAAAACTTGGTTTTTTGAATTTTTCACATAAATTTTGAGGTTATGTGAAAAATGTGTGAATACAAAAGTTTTAGATCTTTTTATTACCTACAACTTTGCCATTTAACTTTCTTCGATAGGACTTTTAGTTTTGCCGGAAATCGAGATAAACCGTTTTTTACCCTTAAAACTACCCCCCCTACCCCTTCCCGACCTCAGATCGACCGTAATTTATTTTTCCTATTATTTTGATCATATTCCCCTGCTTTTCTAATGGGTTTCATCCTACTGTAATTTTTTTTGGTTTCAAAAATTATCGGCACTGGTCTATCACGTGTCACGGTTGAAATGGTCTGTCGTTTCGTAGAATGATGTTTATTAAGTTTTTAAAGATCTATTTGTCCAGTGGGTATATATATATATTCTCATGTTGGATTTTCTTTCCTACGGTACATTGACGGTAAACATCGCAAAGTAACCAGAATGACTGCGATAATAATCTAATCACGTGTTCTATAGAAAAATGAGAGGGGCTCATTGCTTGCAAGCTTGTGAATGCTATACCTATAAAATATTTCAACAAACATTTTTGTAATTTTAGTGGTATATCGCGGCGATGAAAAGTAAATGAAGTTGTTACATTTAAAAATGTAAATTTTCGCATTACCGCGAGCATATTTTAAACGAAGCTAGGAGTTAGCTCCGTTTCAGAAGGATAATATTCAAAAACATAAACAGTACTTTTACGGGGTACTGCATTATATTTGCATAAATATGATTTTGTATGCAAATACATCAAGTATAAGGTTTAGTGGAGAGAAAATAATCTCTTGGCGCGTTTTCGTCGTAAAACTTTCATAGTATGCTAAGCGCTTGCAAATCTTACTTGCTTAGCTGCAGCCACTGCAATAGGTGATAAGAAACTTGATTTATATTTTTGATTTTACTAACATCAGTTTATTATTAGAGACATCACAAAATTCAAAATTACAGCGCTACTTCGTCCCTGGCCCTGTTTAATGTATTGAAGTTAAAAAGTACCTTTATAACGTACAAGCTGACCCGGCAAACGTCGTTTTGTCATGTATATTATTTATAGGAAACATTTTTTTAGTTCAATAAAAACTATCTACAATAATAGGGGTTGATTGTGGAGCGGTGAAAATTAGGGGTTGTATGTATTTGGTATGCTGTATCATAAAAAAATAAAAGCAGAAACAAAATGTTTTTGGTGTGGACACGCCTTATTTCTTAGAGGTTTGAAATATAGATAAAAGCCGATTCTCAGACTTACTATATGTATCAAATAATCCATAAAAATCGGTCAAGCCGTTTCGGAGCAACGAACATTGTGACACGAGAATAATTTTAGATTTCTACTTTTTATTTTAAGAAATGTATGCCTCCATTCCTAATTAACAAGGAAGTCTGTCGGTTAGTATGTATTCCTATTTAATACATGTTAATGCGTCTAACAATTTTATTAGGCTGGCTGGAGATAGCCGGCTTATATTTTATCATAATGGTAAACTTTACTTACAGGCCATATTTTGTTTACCAACAAGGCATATAAGGTCCTGGGATACGGGCAAAACAATAATTGTTTCCAGGTAAGAGCTGGTAGTCAGTTGTTTTATAAAATGTCACTTATAAAAAAACAGTTACCATTGAAATTATAGTGTAATCTGTATGATTTATGACAAAAATCATCTAGTTAAAATAAAACAATAACTATTAAACCGCATATAAAATTTCAGTCATAAGATAAATTCCATCTATTTTATGAGTCTTAAAAATAGTGAACGTAAAATATTAGATGACATCATCTATACGGTTTAACAAGAAATTTTGCATCGAATATCTTGATATTGCAAGCAAAAAGCACTGAACACGCTTGTGAATGGAAATTTTTATGCTCAAATCCAATGGATTAAGTTGGTAAACGCACATGGACATGACACAGCCCTTCCTGGCTCCAACATTAAAAAAATCTATTATGCTGGGTGGGAGAATTGATGATAGTATTAATAAGTTAAAAACGGAAAAGTCGAATTATAGCGAGCATGTTTTTAAGATATCTGTGGATAAGTAAATTTTAACTTATCTAGTTTTTATAAACAGAGTTTTAGTATATTTTCGTAAGGGGTTGTTGCACTGACGCAATGAAAACAACGAATATTTCAATGTTTATCGTTTTTTTTTTAGTAAGAATTCGTGTCAATTCTCTATATGATATGAATACAACATTGTTACATTCAAATGAAAAATTGCACCTAAAATTGATACTGAAATATTTAATATAACTCTTGAGTAATATGGATACAAATGGAGAATAACAAGACACTACAACTGTATCAGAATCGATGAAAATTTAAATGCTTACGTCACCTGTCACGAATTACGCGCAAGCAATTTATCAAAAATAATTCCATCGTCAAAAGATAGAGGGCGCTATGACACGAAATAAACTTGCCGAATAATACTAGCTTTAAGCTCTAGACCTTAGTAACAATTGGTTATACAAGTAAATGCCAATGAAGTTATACAATTTAGTGAATAAATCAGACGTGGACCTAGATATTTTAAAAGCAAGTTATACCGCCTTTGAAAATGACGGTAGGAAGAAAACTCTCGTATGTAAAAAATTTATTGAGTTTGCTATACGTGAGTAATTCTTAGCGATAAGTGTCGACTCTGAACCCTATTAGACCTTCTAAAATGCTCGGTGTTCCGAAAATTATGATCTTTTTTGTGTTCATCGTTATATAAGATACATAATACATTACATTTGAACGAATACTTAATTTATATACATTATACATATAACAAATACTTCAGTACGTGCACCAATTCAAACTCATACTTATCTTACATATTATATAAAAGAGTTTAAATATGATACGTAGTGAATCTTTTAATTTTTTTATATAATAGGGGGGCAAACGATCCTACGGGACGCCCAAAAAGGGCAGTCATCGCAGCCCATAGAGAGTTTTAGTGGGTGCGTTGCCGGCGTTTATTATAAACCGTAACAATGCTGAAATAATTAAGAGGGAAACCCCTTAGTGATGGACAGGTGTATCTAAAACAATAGTTTACGTTATCTTGATATGCACCTGATTTGATTGTTTTCTGTTACTATAATAATCGAAAAAATTATATATAGTTTAAAATTTATTGCAATCGTGAAGGTGTTGGAAACACCTGTAATATTTTCGTCGTATCTAGCGTAGCAGGCGACAAAACGCAATCGATCAAGCTTTCTACGTGGCTGGAGCAATCCAAAGCGTGATACGTGTTAACTACACAGATCAATAAAAGCCATACAACTATCAACCCTATTACATGAAACATAAATCACATTTTCCATTTGTCGCAATAATTATGTCGCATTTTACGCGATTCGTTTGACTATCCTCTTCCCTAGGTAGTTTCCTGTGATATTGACGCAATATTTTTCGTTGATAGGGTTTGTTATCAGTAGAACGCTTGTAAAACGGAGTTATTTTTAACCAAAATCGTAATTTGGAAGGGATTCAGACGGAAGAGAGATTGTATAACCGGAAAGCGTAAATTTTGTTAACTGTTAATTTACTTGATGAAATAATAGTGGTTTTTCGATTGTATATTCATATATAACATTCATATGGCTGATGGCTGGCCATGCGTCATGCTCGTGAACGGGTGCTGCTTGTGATGACTGGTCGTATTTAAATTCGTGTATGTGGTGATGTTGGTTATTTCGAATGTGTTTGCGTGTTGTTCCCACGAGAATGTAAGTGCGTGCTCCTATTTCACCATGCCTCCTGCTGATAAAGGACAAGTCTTTGTTTTTTTTATTTTTTTATTTATGTTATTATTATTAATTACTTGATATGTCATGTGGAACAAGGTATAATGGCTGCAGCTCCTTACAAACGTTGTGTAAAAAAAATGGCGATTAAAAATAGTGGCGGAGAGTTTATTGCCAGTTCTTCTCTCCCGTTCTACGCCCTTGATTTGAGAACTGGCAGTAAATGTAAAATTAGAAGCATTAATATGTATTTCTTTACTGACGTGTCATAAGTGTACATTATGTTACACATGTGATTAAATGATTTTTTACTTTTACTTTATTCAAACTAGTATGAACTAGGTATTAATCATGGCTTCGACAGCACAGTGTTCATTGTATTAAAACTTTCAATAATACTAGTGGACCCCACAGACGTTGTCCTGCATGATATTTAAAGCGATTAGGATATTAAGCAAAGTATGAAAGTACCGACTGCAGTGCCATCTGCCGGGCTGATTTGTGAATCTAAACCATTCCCAGATCCCCTTGAACACACACAAAAAATTTCATCAAAATCGGTCCAGTCGTTT